CATCTATTATTGATTCAACAACCAACATAATCAGAAATGACGAAGATTCGAGTTAAAGGAACTTCGGCAACATGCAAATAGAAATGAACCTTTAGGCAAATAAAGTGAAGAAAGAGGAAGATGTTGTAAAGGCAACACAATCAATTATGTTCCTCACTTCGCAGCTCATGCTACTCTCATCAAAGTTGAAACATATAGAAGATAACCTAATCGACGTTTTAACGGATGCTCATCATGGTCGGATCAGCCCATTGCTACTTACTCCACATCAATTGCTATAGGAGCTCCAAACCATCAAGGCTCATACTCCGCCATCTCGTGCTCTACCCATTCGTGAAGATAATGTGCCGGATTTCTTCAGAAGAAATGAACATTTCTTCAGAAGAAATGAACAGCTGCATACATACCACAAATGACGTTTTCATTTGCGACCACCAAGCGAAGTTTACCAAAGGCGATCGGTCACATTTATGCGAGGCGAATTTCTTATTGAATAAATCGTCAGAAGCGTGCGACTTGGAATCAACCATGCACCACCAAACTTGGAGACAAATGGAACAAAAGAATCAATGGATGTTTACTCTAGCCAATTTAACAGAATTGTCCTTTGTTTGTGGTACAAAAATGAGTCACCTGGAGGTGCAAGGAGCTGGAAATTGGGCCAGACTGTATTTTCAAAGACAACACATTTACAATATACGGTCATTACGAAAACAAAACAACAGTGCACACATCATATCTGAGAATTAAGCCACTAGATTCCATAATCTCAAGCAGTAAGCTTGTCTTGCTCAACACAACATTAAACAGCACCTATGAAACACATGCAGCTGAGCTCGTCACCTTACACCAACAGCTAAAAACCATTGAAATCGGACGCCTTCCACAACTAATGGAATCGACGGCCATTCACCATCATACCATCAGCTATCTAGCTCGTTGCATTGGAATTGGAGTAGCTAAATACGTCACTGTCAAGTTTCGTCACCACCGAACTTCCAACAACAACGTCAACCCAACACCTATTCCCCGGCAGTCAGTCTCATCATCATACTATTGGCTGAAGTATTTTATTGCTTACTTTGCATTTAATGCTAGTTGTATTGATATTCAAAATGTATAAATACCAAGCGAAAATAAAGATTCTTGGTAGATTACAAGAAATTGTAAACATACCAAGGTTACACAATTCAAGTGTTGTGTATATCTACTTTTATTTATATTAATAAACACTGAGCTTTCAGAACTCAAACAACGGATTTCTTAAAACAATAGTTATGGATATTTATTAAACTATTTCAACTAAAACGCGAAATTATAAATAAATTATGCAAGAACAATTTTTATAGTTTACATGCTCCCGAAAAGAACACCCTAGGAAACTTCTTCAAACAAACACGTGACTTTTATAAAGTCGGCCAGTAAGCACATCTGGCAACAACGTTTTCTGTCAAAAGACATACAGGCATGTCACAGAAACAAATTCCGAAGGAACACCAATTTTTGTTTTGTCTGAAACCGCTTTGGATACCGATATTCGGTATGTTGATGATTTCAGCGACATTATTCTCCCGGATTGTTTCCAATTTCGTATATGAAGATCTTAATGGTTTCTACAGCCTGTGGGTAAAAAATTGCTTATGCAGGTCCAAGTCTTCGTATAGCCCGCATAAACCAATACCTCCGATAGACGGTATTTTGGTGGTGTTTCCCTAAAACAAAGAAACAATTTTGGAAGAATAAGAAAAAAGTTACGGTGCAGAGCCTAATTAACTCAGTACCGGCGGGTGTTTGTGATCCAGCCACGAGCCACACCTCGTCGTTATCCAACGATCCTGGGCAAATTTCTCCCGCCGATGTGGGTGCCTTGGCATCTATGGTCGAAGGTATTGCTCCGTGTACACCGTCATTTGGGCAAAAAGAGTCTGAGGAACTCCGGGGAAGCGCACACTGGACTCAGCCTTCAACGACAAGAAGTGTATCGGACTTCGAATCTGTCATCTGCTGCGACAATTCTACCGTTTTGCGAATCCAAATAAAGGAAGAGGCGCACAAAAAGATGGAAGAAGTTAGCGACAGCTCGGCGAAGCTCACAAGAAAAACGAAAAAGTTGTCTGGGGCTCAACGGCGAAAGCTCAGGAAGCAACAGACAAGGAAAAATGTAGAGTCGAAGGATGCTCCAAAGGAGGCTACAAGTACTCCACTCATCCATTGGAGTCAGGGAAGATAAGGTCCCCTGAGGAACAGAACACTGCGAAGCCGCAGAAGAAGAAAAAGAGCTTCGCATCTTCACTGCCCAGTCAAGGACATCGCAGAGAAGACTGCCACAAGAATCCTTTGACCGAGGGCGACGGAGTTAGTCCCAACACCGAGAAGATAAGCCCGGGAGAGGGAATCTGCCTACGGAGCAAGTTGAGTTTAGGGGCTATGCTAGGATCATTTTGAAATTTTTACCGCAGGTGGGTATTTTTAACCTGATTAAGGGAAAGTAATTTTTTCGTGGGGGAAATATCCGGTTACCCAGTTATTTGGCCGATATGTACAAAATGGATATCATTTGAAAGCTTATGGAATTACCTATCCAACAAGTTTTCAAGTTACTGGAACCGGTTCCGAAGTAATGCAAGAAAATTGGTATTTTTATACCAGTATGTGTTTGAAAAACACATACAAACTTGAAAATATACCCATTATGGCGTTTTAAGATCTACATGCTACATTATATCCTATATTCTTGCCTTTCCAAAATGGCATTATATGTGCTGATATCTCTTATAGTTCCAAAGATATATGTGATGCAAATTATAAAATTGATATTTTCTCCACTAATATGTATCTAAACATTTTAAAGTAGCCGGCCTTCGGCCGGGGCTTGAGATTTTCTCCCCTGGGGTATGTCCAACACCGGCTACGCGATCCATAGTTTTTATATACATTGTAATTTTGGTAGGTAGCCGGCCTTCGGCCTGGGTTTGAGGTTTTCTCCTCTAGGGTATGTCCAACACCGGCTACGCCATCCATAGTTTTTCTAAACATTGTAAATTTGGTAAATAGACGACCTTCGACCGGGGCTTGAAATTTTCTCCCCTGGGGTATGTCCTACACCGGCTACGCGATCCATAGTTTTTCTAAACATTGTAAATTTGGTAAGTAGCCGGCCTTCGGCCGGGGCTTGAGATTTTCTCCCCTAGAGAATGTCCAACGCCTGCTACGCGATCCATAGTTTTTTTTTAAATATAATAAAGTAAGTAGCCGGAATCCGACTTTAAAGTCAATATCTTCGGAACTACAAAGCTAAGATACATATTAGTGGAGGAAATCTCAATTTCATGATTTGCAACACTAATATCTTCGAAACTACAAGAGATATCAATACCTGTAGCACCTTTTTGGAAAGGCCAGAGTGCAGGCTACAATGTAGTATGTAATTCCTAATACCCCATATACCCGAACTTTCGGGTTGAATAACCGGATATTCCCCCACAAAAAAAGTACCTTGCCGTAATCAGGTTATTGCAAGCTTTTTGGGAACAGATTGACAGCGTAATGATGTGTTAAACATTAAAGTTTTTTTCTAAAATCCATACACAAGCTGAGACAATAATAAGATAGAAACAATAGAAGAGACCCTAGGGTTTTTGATAAACAACAATTCCCGCCTAGCATCCCGCAACACGTAGATATATCAGAAGATAGATGAAATGTGACTGATGAAGCAAAGATGACACACTGGTTATTCAAAAGCGTAATTAGACATATTCCAACATATGCATTAGTAGTCTGGTGGACAGCTTTGGAAAAAAATATAATACCAAAATATCAGGGAAAGCCCGACTGGGAATGTGCGCTGAAATGAGAACGACACCAACTAGGGCGTTAGAGACAATTTTACATGTACACCCAATATATCTTCAGATACGGTATGAAGCGGCCGTCGAGCTCAAGGCGACGAACGAATGCCACGAGACATACCTTAAAAAAATTTTACAGGTAACCGGAATTTGACCCGAAAGTTTGGATACATCATCCGGTTTATCCGGATATACAAAACTGTATCTAAAAATATCAATCCACAAGTGGCCATATTGGAACCGGAATTCCGGAGTAATGCAAGAAAATTGGTATTTTTATACCAATACTTAAGCCCCTTAAAACTCGAAAATGTACCCATTATGGGGTATTATGTTCCCATTATGGCTTTCCAAAATGGTATCATATGTGCTGATATCACTTTTTGTTCCAAAGACATTAGTGAAGCAAATCATGAAATTAAGGTTTTCTCCACTAACGTGTATCTAAAATTTTTAGGTAACTTAAAACTTTCTTGTCTGTCCATATTTGTTCTAAACATTGTAATTTTTGTAAGGGGCTTGGGATTTCTCCTCTGAAGTCTTTCTAAACATTATAATTTTTACTGCAAGAGATATTAATACATATGACACCATTTTGGAAAGGTCTGACTGCAATGTAGTGTGCTTTTTTAATAACACATCATACGTTCACTTGTTGAAAAATATTTCCATAAGCTTTCAAATTATACACATTTTGCACATATCAATAGGAGTAGGAGTTTTGTTCATCCGAGCATAGCTCCAACTTAAGATGGAGGTCTAGGGGATGGTGAAGTGTCTGAACCGGCTTAAGGCCAACACGAGACCCCTACCGTAAACGTACTAACGGACAGTTAGATGTAGAAATTGTCCGCCGCACTTTTCAATCTAACCTAAGTAGACTCGATTACATTGTCACGAACCTGACTACCGTTATTTACTCCGACTTTCTACGAATTATATCACTGGTAAAAGGCTACCTAATACTGAACTGATGCTGTTCGAGGCCAATTACTGTTCCAGAACCTGCAGTAATCTTTTTTTCGATACTTTAATAAAGGGAAAACTTGTTATCATAGAAACTATTTTTACAACCCTGCAGTTCTGAAACGACCAAGTATTGGCAAACATTTTCCATCTCTCCCACATTATTTGTATATATTGTAAAAATCGTGTTGTTAGCAATATAAAACTGCTTTCCTTTATTCACATCGTTATTTAATCTTTGAACTCTTAACGTTTCCTTAACATATTCAAGCGATTCTTGCGCTTCCAAGCAGCACGACGTGATCCACCAATAGTTTGGGAATATCTGTAGCCCTTACCAATTCCACGAGAACTCTTTCCAGCAGAGGTAAGACCACGTAATTCTCTATGCTTATGAACGTGTTTACAAATCCAGTTTATTTTCGGGTCCCGACGAATTGCTGAGTGATGAGTGTCAACCAATATAACTTCGAAATACTTGTATGATGCATCCTGAGCTACCCAATAAGAATTTAAAACTCTTAGCCCACCAAGTCTGCGACCCACACGTTCCTAGGGAAAATTAAAATGATTTCAAATACATGTCATGTAGTTTTATATACTGCGAAAAGCATACTTCCAGATACATGGGGCTTTGAAAAATTTTATGTTTGCAGTTTGACGCCGTAAAGTTGTCCTTTTTTATTTATCCACAAATAGAAACTGGCAAGGTCGGTACTTTTAAACGACACGTAATTATCTAGTTTAGGTAATCAAAATTTTCAAATCCCATATTTCAGGAAGTAACTTTCCCATCAGACCGTCGTTTCGATCAGCATAAGTTCTCAGGGGATACTTACTTCAGCAATAGATTGTAATCCACGATACGGTTTAAGCTCATTCACGCCATGACTTTTGGGCTTTCCGTAGGTACATCCTTTAGGAACGGGACGTTTACGACCACCTCTGCGAACCCGAATCCGATAAATAACGAATCCTTGTTTGGCACGATATCCCAAACGGCGTGCTTTATCAGGCCGGGTTGGTCTTGGGGATCGATGCAGTTTAGTAAGTTGACGATATTGCCATACTCGAATTCGAAGCAAATAGCGCATAACATCGCTCTGCTTTTTTCTATACAACTCCTGCATATAACGATAAGCTCCCATTTTCGTTGTAGACCTAGTAACAAGTATAAAAAAAGTTATTTGATTGTAAATAACAGTCACATCATCGGTCTCCAAGAAGGAAGCACAATTCGTATGTATAGAAAACCATTTGTACAATTCTTCTTAAAATCCGCAAACACACCCACCTCCAACGAGAATTAAAAGTAAAAAGGAGGAAGCCGGGTGAAGTTAGCCGCGTATAGAAATATATTTTGATAACGTCATAAACTAAATTCGTACGTAGAATACGCTACGCTTAGCGCATGATAAAATAATACAGGTTGCCGCATCAGCACACATTTGAATTTCAAATTTTTGAAAACAAAATTTACCCAAATTATTTAAATTGTTTGAAAAATTCATATCACATCACATTTAAATGGTATTGTGTAAAAGAATATTATAATCAATTTAGTTTTGCATAAACTTTTAACATTTATAATAAGTCAATGTTCAAAAGCGTTTATGCATCTATCTGTATTCTTTTACCATAACACAAAGCCATTTTGACAATGCCTCAATAAGTAAAGCTGCCCTCAGACACACCAACAGTTGGCCCAACTTGTGACAAGTTGGTACAACTATTGGTGCGTCTGAGGGCTAGTTGTACAACTTTTTCGAAAGATGGTTGAAGTTGGTTGGAAATATCAAAAATTTTTGATAATTTCGTAAGTTGGGCCAACTGTTGGTGCGTGCGAGGGCAAGTTGTACCAACTTCAGTGTTTTCTTCATTTATAGTTGTGTTCCAGTACTGTTTTATTAGTAAAACTAGCAGAAGAGAGAACAGTACGAAATGCCATTCTCATTTAGGTGTGCTCAAAAAATAAGGAAACGGAAAATTAGCAGAAATGTGATAAAATGTCTACATTCAAAATTCCAAAAGTAAACAGTCTAAATCGGACTGGTGAAACCTTACTGCAATGAACGCCAAAATTTAAAAAAAATGAGTATTGAAAAAAAGTAAAATCAATAATTATTTTTGAATGCTTTTTATTCAGAAAGTTTTGTTTTCAGAATGCGTTGAAGAGTATTTAAAGGTGGAGTTTTCTCAAATCCCAACGCCGGAGAAGCTGACATGGTTGGAGGCGCCGGTTAAATTAATGTTAAGTCTGGTAGAAGACTTAATGCCACAAGTTGGGAAGACAACCAAACTAAAAAACAAAAAGAAAATGTTCGCAGTAATAAGCGAACATCTTTCATTTTAAGCTTAAATTCTCAATTTATCTTTCACTAATTTTGCACAGTTTTCCAATACGTTTTCTTCGTCTGATTCCTCATTCAGCCAGTCCTCTTCACTCCTGGAATCATCCCAAAAGTGAAAAATCAGTTGCTCCATATTTTCTCTTTTTGTTTTTTGCACGACAAATATATATATAAAAAGAAAAAAATTCGTCCGCGCATATATATATATATATATATATATATATATATATATATATATATATATAGTAAAACTAGCAGAAACTATATTATATATATACATATATATATATATATAATATATATATATATATATATATATATATATATATATATATATATATATATATATATATATATAATATATATATATATATATATATATATATATATATATATATATATAATTATATATATATATATATATATATATATATATATATATATATATATATATATATATATATAATTAAAAAAATTTTGTTCTCCCAAAATCAGCTGTTTTCACCTTAACGGGCAACAAAAATTTTGTGGAAATCCACAATTTTTCTTCTTTGTTCTGTGGGTTTTCCACAATATAGGAATTTTTCGAAAAAAATTAAATAAACAAAACAATATTTTGTAAACAATATCCATTTAGTTGAAAAGAGCACACATGTAAACCCAACTACTTTCTAGCTATCGTGATTTGATTGTACCATTTATGATTTTGTAAACATACATCCATACATGCCAACCTTAAAAAATTCTGACAAAACACTCGAATTCCTAAGCGCCTGGTCTTTTATTTGCCTTCTACGTACCAAATAATACATAAAGCTCCATTTTCCTTATGTCTCTCTTTCACTCTCTCTCTATTTCTTTTGGTCAAATAATTTATGTTCTCCTACAGTTTCATCAACCTGGGGATGTTAACAATGCTAACGGTGGAGTAATATCTCACGCAACTGCAACTTTGAATACAAATACGACAAACCCATGAATCAAGCAAATTCCAGATTGTAAGATCTGATTCTGGAGAGCCATATTGCATAAATTGCCAAGATTTTAGCTACGCAGCGAATTTGAAGGATTGTCTAGTTTACAAAAAGTACATTACATCTAATAAGACTCAAGTTTATATACATGATCACAAATATCGTTTGCTAGCCATTTTAGGCGAAACGACAACTATTCAACCATTCAGGAACCACCAATAGTGACAGATTTCTTAAAACTAGCTGACTACTTTTTGGATTTAAGAAACATGATCTATAGAATGATTAATTTATTGACATTTTATGTTAGATCTCTTAGACAAATCTTAGATCTTAGGACAAATAGATCTGCTAAGAACGCTTTCGGTCAATTACATCGTTGTGGGATTTGTCCAAGATAGTGACCTACGAAGGAACAGGAAAGTTAGAATAGATGTATGGATATTATTTATGACAACTCTCCAATTGACGTAGCCGTTTTTATACAAAAAGTCCACAATGCATACAAAAATTGTTATCAGTAATGTCTCTAAAAAACAAGCATGATACAAATTGAATCTGAAAGTGATAATAAAAGAATCAATTAGTATTGAACCAGCAGAAATATACAAAAAACGTCTTCAAAATATTAATGCTGGCATGTTTGTTTTTAAAGATATTTATAAAGATATTTATAATAGTGACAAATTTCATAAAACTAGCTGACTACTTTTTGGATTTAAAAAACATGATCTATAGAATGATTAATTAATTGACATTTTATGTTAGATCTCTTAATGACAAAAGTAGACAAATAGATCTGCTAAGAACGCTTTCGGTCAATTACATCGTTGTGGGATTTGTCCAAGATAGTGACCTACGATGGAACAGGAAAGTTAGATTAGATGTATGGATATTATTTATGGCAACTCACCAATTGACGTAGCCGTTTTTAAACAAAAATTTCACAATGCACACAAAAATTGTTATCAGTAATGTCTCTAAAAAACAAGCATGATTCAAATTGAATCTGAAATTAATAATAAAAGAATCAATTAGTATTGAACCAGCAGAAATATACAAAAAACGTCTTCAAAATATTAATGCTGGCATGTTTGCTTTTAAAGATATTTATAAGTTCAGCGGCAGAAAGAAATCCCATTTCCCTAGCAATAGCAGACCAATAACAACACTGTTTTCAATAATTTAGAAATTGCAAATCATTCCCATCAGTACTATACATCTTCCTTCCAAGAAACAGAATTTCCATCTTGTATTGTTGAATCTATAAAATTATAATCATTCTTAATAGTATTATATTTTTTAAAAACTAAAGTGAGTTTCCTCCCTTTGGCGAAACTCGCGTTAAAAAATAACACGTCAATTAAAGTTTGCTGCTGGAATAGAACTAAATCTTTATTTGTGAATGAGTGCAATATACATAATTGTTTATTTTAATTCTAGATACATCGTATGATTATTTATTGGTCTTTTGATTCGATCGTATGATTTGAAATACGATCGATTGTGTGATTTGCAAGAAGGGTGTGGCTTTTTTTTTCTAAATGACAGATGGTACGATAATTGTAATATGAATACGATAATTGTAATATGAATATATTGCCAAGTCATTGGAAAGGCATTTTGGTTTGGGTTATAACACCCCCGGACGAAGACTCTTTCCCGTGTTCCAAAGGAGCTGAGGGGAAGGGCATAGTTACTTTTACTTTTACTGTGCTTGATCTATATTTTACATACAGATACAATGCTATAATAAGTATAATTACAGCTGTCAAGACTATTACTGTGTAATTAGTTACTTTCTGTTCAAATTTTATTTCTGATATGAATTCGGTATTTTTAATATGATGATACTGTATTTCCTCTAAAGAATCATATGAATCATTTATCATATGTATGTCTCTGTAGGGATTTGGAATTATTAACATGTTTTGAAACATTACTTTATTGTACCATTTGTCCAATTTTACTTTGCAATTTTCTATGATCAGCATGTGATTTCCAGATAATTTTAATGGGTATTTGTTACATGTATGATTAACAATTTGATTAGTATTTATAGCAATTATAATATTTAAGCCAATTTCGACAACTTTTGGTTTAGTATTTTGTATATAATGACATTTCATGAGCTTATAATTAAACAGATTGGATATACAATCATCCTCAACTTCCCTTAGATTTGGTGTTTCATTAACATCATAATAAATTTTATTATCTTTTGTGATATACAATTTTTCTGCAATATTAATTTGCATTTTTTCTTTATTAGGTATTGGTTGAATATATACTTCTTGGAATATTTTAGGATTATATTGGGGTACTTTTAAGACAAATACTATATTATTTTTGTAAAGGGCTAAATTCATCTTAATTTCTTTCATTTTATCTATGGTTATATTATATATTCTAATTTCTTCATCACTCAGGATATCTCGAGTGAGAATATTTAATTTGGAAGCCAAGATTAGGTCTCTTACTTTATCTAATAATTTGCCCATATGATCAATTTGGTATTTAAGACGGTAAACTTTATCAGCTTTTGCTGTGTTATCTTTAATTGATTTAACGTTTGACATGCTCTTAATCAACAGTTTTGTTTGGTCATTATATAATTTTGTTAAGTTAGCTAATTGATTGTCAAATTGTGTATTTATGTGTATTTGATTATTAGTTTGCGTTATTATATTATGTTCATTCTTCTCCAAATTTTGCAGTTGTCTTTCAATCTCTTCTCTATCATTATTATCCATTGTACCATATAGATATTTTAATCCTGTACCAAAAAGATTAATTAAACCTCTTCTATTTCTAGCTTGATGGGGAATAATACTTTTAAGTCGTAAATGTATGTGCTCGATTTCATGCGATAAAAATGAATCATTAATATGCGAAACTTCCTCTCCCAATTCATTCAAAAAATCCATATATTTTGTGGTGTTAAATATGTGAAGAATTTTAATATAGTCATCTATTAACATTTTGTCATTAAGTTGTATCATTGCATATCCGTTGCCTTTATTCAAATCGACTACCTCGAGCTTCTG